AAGTTCAACGCTCCAGTGAAACAGTTTGGAGGACCAGTCAAGTCAACACATTACCATTGTCTATGTTTTTCGTCATGCTTTGATTCATCATGAGTCAAAAGGTGTGTCAGATACCATTCCTGACCTAGAATAATGAGAAATGAAACAGAAACTAGATAAGCAGGGCAAGCTGCTTGTCAGATTTGTCAAAAGAAAACAAATCAAAGAAACCTCCAACYAACATCACGAGGATCACACTCTCAACCCACACATAAACCCACACAAAAGGTAGGTCTTTCCCCTGTCTGAATGAATGAGATAAGAGCAAAGTGCAAATAGTTCTTAAAGGCTACGCTTGTCAAATACAATGGCTCGCGTGAGAGCAAACTGTTTTCTGATACATTTTAACCACCAAAGACCTGAAACTCTTGCACTGCGTGCATTTTTGTCCACATATGTGGCGCCAGGTCGTAGGAAGGTGCAGTCATGAATGGTTCTAAATCCATATAAAAATAATTAAAAAAATGTTTGTAAATGATAATGTCATGAGGTGAGGAGCTCAGAAGGTGAAACTGTGAGATGGGAGAAATGTAGGGCTTGGACAGTTTAAAGCCATGGGATTTCAGACTGATTTTGTTGTGGTCAAGATTATTTGATAAACATRGTTCTGAGACTAGTGCTGGGCAGTCCACTGGTTCATACCAAAAACAGTTTATTTTGGTTAAGATATGAATTTTCTGAATACTGACATACCGGTTTAAATAGCCTGAACACGTTCTGTATTCGCCTGTGAACTGTTTCACGGGGGACACTTTTCCTCGCAGCACCGCTCATGCACATTAGCCACCAGTGTTACTGTTGGAGCAGCTTCAGAATAACTGGCWGCAGGTGGCGATTTACCTGCTTATAATGACTGATGTTAAACCAAAACTCCCATTATCACCATCGCTGAACATGGCATAGAACTCTTCAGTGAGGTGCACGGAATGATTTCATGCATGATGTAAACTTTTATTGTGAAAAGCCTGGGGGAAGTGGGTTTGAACTCGAGTTCAGTTGACTGGCGAACGAAGGCTGAGTCGTCCCGTTAAGTTTTATTAAATAACACAAAACAATAAACCTGATTATCTTTGCTCAACCCTCCTCCTTCACAACTGTCAACCAGGCAAAGAAGAAACRACGTGTAGAGGCGGGAAACAGTGACAGATAGAGGTATAGTTAAAAMAAGTCAAAGAGAGTAACTTCAGCTGACGGTGGTTTGCTAATCAATAAGCAGTGTTTGTATTTTTTTATTATCAACTGAGCTGTGATGAAAAGTACTGTCAAATACTGTGATACTTGTTGAAAATACTGTGATACTTGTTGAAAATACTGTGACACTTGTTGAAAATACTGTGATATAAAACTTGAGTCATACCGCCCAGCTCTAATTGAGACCATAGCTATGTTTACACAGGCCTAAGAAATAAGAATAAGAATACATCATGTAAAAATCCTGACCGAAATATTCTGATCTGATTCAGCTCAGCTGGAATGAATCTGTAATCCGATTAAGAGGGCTGGTTCATGCAGATTGATCATCTGAATGGTGCGCATGTAAACACTTATTCTGATCATGTTATTCTTGCTGTGGAAAACTGACCGGACTGCGCATGTGCGGTCTGTCAATCTGACATTTCTGCCAATAGATGCAAATATGTCAGGGAAGCAAAGCTGGTTGGTTAGCGGTACAACGTTTCTATTAGAARCTTTGAAAATTATTGAACACCTTGATGGTGGAAAGTGTAGGAACACAGAAGGCGGTAACATCTCCACCATTATTAAAACCTGGTGGGGGTCCATTTAGCACATTTGCATGTTTATCACTGAAGTAGAACTACTTTTGTGTTTTTTAAGGAGCTTATACAACTCTGTGCATGTCAGTACTTCTAATCTGAATAATTATTTTACCTGCCCATATGCACAATACATTTGAAGTATTTAATCTGAATACATTTCAATACGATCAAAGAATTTTGTGCACATAAACATAGATAAACAGGAAGTTAAATTAAAGCAAAACGAGCCCGGGTTTTGACCTTAACTGGTAAAATGAGCACAGTTGTTTAAAGTACTTGATATAAATAAGTAAAATAAAAATACATTAGACTAATTGGGCCTCATGCAAGAACATGTTCGTATTCTTTTCCTAAATTTCTCTTACTTTTGTTCGTACAAAGGGTTCGTACGAACATCACGTCAGATTCAACAAACTCTTCTATCTTCAGGAAAAGTGTGTAAATGAGCTGCGTAAATTCCACCTGTTCTATTCAGCT